CAACTTAATTATCAAAGGCACTATACTTTGTGGCAAAAAATGACTTATCAGCAACAAAACACCTGTTGTGTAGGAAGTTTTAAATACATTTTTCTCTTCAAAGTATAATATTAATTCATAATGTAGCATACCGTTTTAGTGAAGAAAAACTATACTTTAAAGAAAAAGGCAGGATGTGCTACTTTCAAAAGGGCTTGAAAATAGTTTGAATGATTCAAACTTTCCTCTAACAAATGCCACAACAAAAAGGTTTGTCTTTTTATATGTAGGGAAAACAACAATTAATAGGTTGTTTGGTTAGAAACTTAAAACTTTAAAGTTTCCCATTACCTCCCTTTGACCAGTTTTATTTGTCCTGACAGTGCTACTTTAAATATTAGGGGAGAAAAGTGAAACTAATATTGTAATTTCTCTATTTTAAGAAATGATAAATGATCCTAAAATATGTAAATTTTTAAGTTGTCTTAGACAACTATCAAATTCTCAGAAGCTATTTAGTTCCTGTTCCTAGTCTTCCCTAGTTCATTTAGTCCTCCTTCTGAACATTTTTTTTTTTAAGATTTATTTATTTATTTATTTGACAGAGAGAGAGAGAGTGAAGAGAGGGAACACAAGCAGGGGGAGTGGGAGAGGGGAGAAGCAGGCCGTCCGCCTGGCAGGGAGCCCGATGCGGGGCTTGATCCCAGAACCCTGGGATCATGACCTGAGCCGAAGGCAGATGCTTAACGACTGAGCCACCCAGGCACCCCTGGAATTTTTTATAAAGCTCCAAATTAGAGCTTTCAGCCCCAATTCCAGGCTTGGAAGTAAATAAAATGCAATCTATTTTTAACTGTTTGTATTCAACAGTTGGGGAAGTGAAGGCAAAGACAAAAACATAAATTAGACTAGGAATATTCTCTAGATTTCAGATATCCAAATTTATTCCTATTCCTCCCTTAAGAGGGACAAGGGGCACCCAAAAACTGGTACAAGAATGTTCCTAGAAAGTATTATTCGTAATAGCCAAAATCATTAGGCAAGGCTATGTTCAAAGCTCAATTAACAGAAACAAAAGATAACTTGTAATGTTAATGCACAATTTGCAGTAAACTATGCTTTACTTTCTGAAAAAATCTTAATATACAATTTGGAATTAACTTAGCAAGCGTCAAGAACACATTCTTTTCTGTTAAGATTTTATTTATTTATTTGTGAGAGAGAGCGCAAGCAAGCACACACAAGCAGGGGGAGCGGCAGGCAGAGGGAGAAGCGGACTCCACGCCGAGCAAGGAGCCTAATGTGGAACTTGATCCCAGGACCCTGGGATCATGACCTGAGCTGAAGGCAGATGCTTAATCGCTTAATCGACTGAGCCACACAGGAGCCCCAAGAACACATTCATCCATCAAAAAACATTCAAGGGGCGCCTGGCTGGCTCAGTTGGAAGAGCATGCTTCATCTAGGGGTCATGAGTTTGAACACCACATGGGGCGTAGAGATCACTTAAATAAATTTAAAAAAAATAAGAACTAAAAAAAAAAAGCAAAAGATTTCGGGATGCCAATTTAAAATCCAATTAATAGTTTTATAAATTGCCTAAAACCTGAAGTCTAAAATTGATAGGTTATACACATCAACTATACTTAAATTAACTAACTAATTCATTAAATTGATAGGCTACACCTAAAATTCATACAGAAATGCAAGGGACCTAGAATAGGCAAAATAATCTTGAAAAAGAAGACCGAATGTGGAAGACTCTCACTTCCTGATGCCAAACTTACTACAAAGACACAGTAATCAAAATAGTGTAGGACTAGTGTAAGGACAGACAATGGAATGCAACTGGAAATCAAGAAATAAACCCATATTATCTATGGTCAACTGATTTTTGACAAGGGTGCCAAGATTAATTAACAGAGAAAGAAGAGCCCTTCAACAAAGGTATTGAGACTACATATCCATGCTAAAGAATGAAGCTGAACCTCCTCCTGGCACCACACATAAAAACTGACTTCAAATGGATCATAGGCCTAAATGTAAGAGCTAAAACTATAAAACCCGTAGAAAAAAACACGAGTAAATCTTTGTGACCGTGGGTTAGGAAAAAGTTCTTAGATAAAACAGTAAAAGCATAAGTAATAACAAATAAACTGGACTTCATCTAAATTAAAAACTTCGATGCTTCAAAGGACAATATCAAACTACCTCATACCAGTTGGAATGGCTACTATCAAAAAGAAATAACAAGTGTCGGCAAGGTCGTGGAGAAAAGGGAACAGTCGCACACTGTTGGTGAGAATGTAAATTTGTGCAGCTACTGTGGAAAATAATATGGAGGTTCCTCAAAAAATTAAAAATAGAAATGAAATACCATACAATCCAGTATTTCCACCTCTGGGTATGCACCTGAAGAAAATGAAAGCACGAATTCAGAAAGATACATGAACCCCTATGTCTACTGCAGCAATCACCAAGAATATGGAAGCAACCTAAGTGTCCATCCATAGATGGAATAAAGATGTGCTATACATACACAATGGAGTACTCAGCCAAAAAAAAAAAAGAATGAAATCTTGCCATTTCTGACACCGATGGACCCAGAGTATATTATGCTAAGTGAAACAAGTCAGACAGAAAAAGACAAATACCATATGATTTCACTTATATATGGAATCTAAAAAACAAATGAACAAAAACAGAAACACTCATAAATAAAGAGAAAAAACTGGTGGTTGCGGGGGGGGGGTAGGTGCAATAGATGATTAAGAGGTACAATCCTACTGTTATAAAATAAGTAAGTCACAAGGATGAAAAGTACAGCATAGGAAATAGAGTCAATAATACTGTAATACTGTAAGAAAGTAATGGCACTTACACTGGTGAGCATGTCATAATATATGTAATTGTTGAATGTTGTACACCTGAAACATGTTATATGTCATCTATTAAAAACAATTTTTAAAAACAAATAAATTTTTAAAAAGGACACCGTCAAGGAAAAACGAAAGCCCACAAAATAGAAGAAAATGTTTACAAAATCATGTATCTGATAAAAGATTACCCAGAATATTAAAAACTCTTACAACTCAATAATAAAAACACAAACAACCTAATCTAAAAATGAGCAGTGAATCTAAAAAGATATTTCCCAAAAAAAAAATATGAATAGATGCACATTAGCCATCAGAGAAATGGAAATCAAACCCACAATGAGGTTTTACTTCACACCCATCCACTATAATAAAAAAAGACCGATAACAAGTGTTGTCCAGCATGCAGAAAAATTGGAACATTTTTACATTGTTAGTGGAATTGTAAACCATGCAGTCACTTTGGAAAACAGTTTGGCAGTTTTTCAAAATGTTAAAGAGTAAAAATATAACCCAGCAATTCCATTCCCAAAAGAAATGAAAACATATTTCCACACAAAAACCTGTATAAAAATGTTCATAGCAGTACTATTCATAATAGCCAAAAAGTGGAAACAACCAAACGTCTATCACTGATGAATGGATAAAATGTGGTATACACACACCATGGAATGTTTGGCCATAAAATGTAGTGAAGTACTGATACATGCTACATCATGGATGAAGTGTGGAATCATGCTAAGGAAAAGAAGCCAATCACGAAGGATAACACGTATGATCCCATTTATATGATATGTCCAAAAGAGACCATTCTATCGAGGCAGAAATGTATAGATTAGTAAACTGCCTAGGCTGAGTTAAGGGCGAAAGAGGTAATGACTGCTAATGGATACAGAGATTCTTTCTGAGGTAATGATACTGTCCTAAATTGATCGTGGTGATGTAACTGCACATACGAAAAACCCGTGAATTGTACACTGAACTGAGTGCACTATATAGTATGTGAACTGTAACTTTATAAAGCTGTATTTTAAAGAAAAATCTAATGTCTCGTACTTACGTCGCTTGCGGAAAACAAGAATCACTCAAGACAAATAACTATGAACTGATTTGATTACTAAGTCCATACGTGATACACTTAGAAATAAGAATTTAAGACACACCTCTTCTTCACTGAAAGATCACTCCTTTAATTATTTCTAAATTTGAACTAAAATGCAACTGTAGTACTTGCAGCTGTCAGGACCTAAAATGAGATTCACCCAAGATACCGGGGTAAACATGCTACTTTTCCCGCACTCGGCTGAACTGCACTTCCCATTACAACAAACAATAACTGCAGAAAAACACTCCACACGGTGACTGGAAGTCATTCTCAAAGAACCACCTAATACTAGTACCGAGTTAAGAGGAGGGGTGTGGAAAGAATGAGGAAGGGGAAGGAGCACAGGGCACGAGGGGAAGTCTACGTGCATTTAAGCCCAAGGAATCCAGTTACATTAAATTCAACTTTTATACGCTTTGTGAACAGGCCCAGAGGCAAAGTCCTGGGCGCAGACCAAAGAGCCGAGCTGCGAGGCCGAGAGAAAGTGCTGATCCAGGCCAAGCCCGCAAGGGATTCCGTGTGGAAACAGTGGGGGGCAAGAGGGCTAAGATGGGGGCTGCGGTGCGGGACGGAGGTGAGCCCCCTCCGCCCGGCTCCGGCCGGCGCTCGCCGGCAGCGCGCAGCGGGAGG